GTTTGAGTGTTTAACCTTCGAGCAGCAGATCCTGTTTCGACCATTTAAAGTAGTTGTATGATGCAGTTCTTCTTCTTGTGGGTATAAAGTCTTTTAGTGTGAATATGCTGAAACGTTAACATTTTCAATAACTCAAATATGAGCAGAATATTTATCCTTCATCACGTTGGTTCTTGACTTCAGACAGAAGTAAACAGAAGTATATTACTCCACACTATTATTCTGAGCAGTTTTATAAAATAACCTGTAACACCACAAATGAATGCTGTGAGTTAATGTCTTGTCGCCCTCAGAAGGCAACATCATCTCTGCTCTCTGTAGTGAGCTAGTGAACCGGACACGCTAAAGATCAGCCTTTAACAAATGCCGGCCCCCTGCTGAGAGTCTATCGTGGCCCCCGTCTTCTCGGCGGAGCCGCTGAGACCTTTACGTCCGCAGACTCTTGAACGCACCATTAGCTGGAGATGAATGTGTCATAAGGAATATGCAAGGATGGGACAATGAAAGATGAATTAGCTGCCGGGGCCTTGGTTTCCCGGCGGGCGCTGCGTTAAGGTCAGCGTGATTTAGAATACACAAAGGGACCAGCAGGAGCTTTTACAGTAGATGGAGGGGGGATGTATGGCGGCCATGAGTGTGAAGTTTTGTCTCTGCTCTCTCTGATGTGTTCGTTTCTCTCTGCTTTTATCCACCAGCCTGTTTGTGACCTGATGAAGGGTAATTATTGCTGGACCTACAAAAGCCACAGTACTTCTGTAGCCATGTATCATTATCATCAGAATTATCTCAATAAATGTTTAAAAACTGCAAATGGACAGAAACCACCTCTTTGGGTCAGACTAACTTTTGGTCCACTGGTCTGTTATGTTGGTTCCGACTAAACTTGAAACTCCAGGACAAACAAAGTAAGTGAAAGCGCCGTAAATCTTGGCTCATAGAACTTTAAGCTTTGCTGCTGCAGATGATGACGAACTGATCCGTCAGGTATGATCATGCACGGATGCCTGTGAGTTTAGATCTTTCTGTCTCTGTAAAAACAAAAAAACTCGGTGCCCTCCGTCTCTGTCCTCCCCCCCTGCTCATAAAGAATGAGATATGGTCGTGGCCGGGGCGCTGTGAGGTCACGCCACCATCGTTTGTTTTCTGCCAGTGTGTTGCTCGACTATTGATTCTGACACCGGCACTCAAGGCAAATGTCGGCCCGGATTAATTAAAAGTCACGTCACGTCACGTCGCCTCGAGATGTGAGCTCGGCTCTGTCAGTGCCGCCGTTTGTCTGCATCACAGTTTACAGTGAGGGAGAGGGAGAGGGAAGACTTCGGTGAAATCTTACCTTCGGTTTACTGCCGTCACTCAGACGGGTCGGCAGCTCGGCTCCCGCTCAACAGTCAATCCAGCGAATCGATGTGAATTACCTTTAGTGACCCAGTCATTAGAGCTGTAATAGTCTCCTACTCACGTTTTAAGAGAATTGAACAGGACAGAGCTCGTGGTTAGCGCAGTGAGGGCCAATCACTAAAGCACATGCATTGCTTATTTATCTTGAAGGATCTTTGTTTTCCTCTGCAACACACACTCACGGTCTCCAGCCCTCGCTCTCTAAAGAGCACGACAATTATGCCTGCAATTAGAAAATAATTGTTTTCATTATCAACCCAGGTAATGCTGTTTGTAAGACTTTAATGTGGATCGTGCCTCGTGTTCCCACTCGCTGGGTGTTTTAAAAACCTGCATGGTGCCTGCACGAAACACTATATTTAGTCATCTGCCAGAGACGAAGATTAGCCTGGATGTGGAGCCTCTTTGTGTGGGAGCATTTAATTGTCAGCGATGTTTTATCTACAGTGCAGTGTGTTGGAGTAAGCAAATAAAAATCATTGTGTGTCGTGAAAGACAAACATTTTCAGCCTCTCGTCTTCTGCACTGTTTCACGTTTGAGAGGCCGATCAGCGTTTTTTTTAATCTGTGGTCTTGTTTGTCTATCGACGTGTTGATGTGTCTGAGGGAGACGGTGCTGATTGAGATGTCTGATCTCGGCTCCACACAAAGCTCCACGATTTATACCTGACCGCCGCGTTTCTCTCTTCTTTTGTCTGCAGGTGATGTCATCGTCTACATCAACGACGTGTGCGTCCTGGGCACCACCCACGCCGACGTGGTTAAGCTCTTCCAGTCCGTGCCCATCGGCCAAAGCGTGACGCTCGTCTTGTGTCGCGGTTATCCTCTGCCCTACGACCCAGAGGAAGCTGCCAACACCAACAACAACACCACCACCACCATCATCTCCCCGCTGGGCATCATGGAGCAGCGGCCCATCATGGTGAACGGCAGGACGGGCTACGACAACTACCTGGAATATCTCTCCCGCACGGCTCGCTTCGTCACGGACCCCAGTCAGGATCAGGTCAACGCCCAGCAGCTCCTCCCGCCTCATCCAGGCGACACCCACTTGGACGGCTCCCTCCCCCCCACCACTGGCACCACGCCTCCCGACAGCATCTCCATGGCGTCGTCGGGGGCGACCCAGGGGGAGCTGCTGACCCTGACCATGGTGAAGGGAGTGGACGGCTTTGGCTTCACTATAGCCGACAGCGCCACGGGCCAGCGCGTTAAACAGGTGCTGGAGCCTCAGGGCTGCCCCGGCCTGTGCGAGGCGGATCTGATCGTGGAGATTAACAAGCAGCCGGTTCAGGGATTCACACACACGCAGGTGGTGGAGCTGCTCAAGGAGTGTGCCATCGGATCGGAGACCAGCCTGGTGGTGCAGAGAGGGGGAACAGGTAAGACGACGGCCGCAGGTCAAGATGGCGTGGAGGAGTGAATCTCTGCCCATCAATTTCCTATTTGTCTTTCTCGCTGCGTCTCTTTCTGCCTTTTCATCTATTTCATCCTTATTACTGAGTGTGTGAGTGAGTGTGTGTGTGACCCAGCTCAAAGACCACAGAAACCCATTATAGTTCCGCAGAGCTCTACACTGGCTGACAAATGCACAGCTCCTCTCAAGTGCCCTTCCTACTCGTCTGTCGCCTCAGTCAAAAAGACGCAGCTCTGCTTTCTTCACTGAGTCTTTCTTTACAGCCTCTTTTTCATGTTTTTATCACGACGGTTTCATGCACGGGGCGGACTTTACCTCACATTTTGTCCGCTACGAATAAAATCCCCGAAACGAGGGCACGTCAGAAACACCAGAGTTTTTACACCAAATACTGTCAGACTGCAAATGGCACAAAAGTGCTTTCAGCCCTGTGTTTTTCAGACTGTGGTCCTCTGACAATCATAATTATGCAGTGCACTCTGTCATGAGTCACACAGGGTTGTTATTTGCAGAATCCACAGGTAGACGACTGTTTTCTGCTCTGTGAGGCTGCGTGTGTGTGTGTGATTTCATTCGCTCTCGAAAACAAGCAGAAACCTTTTCAGAGTTTACCAGTCATGACTTTGACATTGAAGGACGAGATTCAGTGTCGCTTGTACGACTGAAACGACGAAACATAAGTTGTGCGTAAGCCTCCTGTGATCTGCCTGCAAACTGAGGTCGTCTCGTTTTTTTGAAACGCGGAGTGCATCTGCCAGCGCTGAGTCACTGAAGATTAAAAACGTTGGAGATTTTAATTAAATCTCAAATCAGCATCCCTACATCAACCACACAGATAAGAGCTGCGTCTCAGGGGCTGCATCCTTCAGAGGCTGCATTTGAAGACGGATTACATCACAGCGGCCTGACTAGACTGTCCGGTTTCGAAGGCTCCGACTAATGCGGCAGATAAATGCGTCCCCAAGAAACGATGGCTCCAACAGGTGGATCCTTCTCTGGCCCAACCTATCCCAGGATTCATTGCATTTTGTGGTACAGATGTTAAAACACCAAGGCGCATTAAAACTTTCTTGTCGTGTTCAACTTCATCCTCTGACAGTCTTACTTCGGTGCGGCCTTCCAAGGATGCAGCCTCTGAATTGAGTCACAGCTTATGTCCTTCTCTGAAGCAGTGATTTATTTGGGCGTTCTCTACGTGAACTCATGGGATGATTTGAGAAACCAGTGCTACTTTTGCTTCTCTTTGTGGAACCAATTTGTTGTTCTGCAGTTTGCCTCTTTGTGTTGTGTAATGTCACATACCAATCATGATGCCAGCCGCCCGGTGCCACAGACACCGCTGAGACTCGCCCACAAAGGTCAGCCGCGTCCTCTGAATGGATTTATTCCCATTTATTTCTTTATTAGTCTGCCCGTGTCTCCGTCAGCAAGAAGCAAGCCAACGAACCGGAAGAGAAGACACCGAGTGAACATGTTTGTGTCAGCGAGAAGAAAATGTAGATTTTCTTTCCTGCTCCACTATGAGAGAAAATAAATATTTTTATGGCCAGTACCTCTGTGAGATCATCAGCCATACGTACACACATGGGAAAGGTCAGAAGTTTTGTCCCACCGTCTCAAACATCACCAATCTGTCAACACACTCCCCACACACAAAACATAAAAAACACACAATCTCCCATCTGCGCCGGGAGCTAATGGCGAAGCCCTCCCGCCATCTGTCCGGGGTCTTCACTCACCGCAGAGCTTCAGAAGGTCGCAAACAAGCGCTCCCTTCTAAAAAATCTACCCGTTGGCCCGCGGAGGAAATGGCAACCTTATTTACGTGCTATATTTCATCTCATTATTCCAAATCTGGATGTGGCTCAGCTCCACTACACAACAATACGCCAGGTCGCTGTGTCACATCTGTTTGTGTTGATTTCCTGTGACGTGACAAGCTGCGGCTGCTGGAGGTGAAAAGAAAAAATGCATCAGAGCCGCCCAGGCTGCTCGTATAGTAGCAAGACTGCAAACATATGCAGAAAAGAGTAAGGCTGAGAACACGTGCCAGAATATCCTGCGCGGGTTTCAGACGTCGTCGATCGCTCGAGAGAATTTTAGGGATTTAACCAGTGTCTGACTTTAAGCTCATTAAGATCAGAGACGTGTGAGCCTCCTGGGACGAAACAGTCACAATCAAGTCTTTGTAATTTCTGTTTTCTTCTTTTCTTAGAAGTAATGACACGCGGGGCCGAGCAGAGAACCACAGATCTATATTTTTAGGTGGAAAAGCCGATGGTGATGTTATTTTTGTTACAAAATCTTGTGATGTTGGTTGTGTTGACGTTCAACTCTGCGTGACGGGTGGTAAAGCTGTTTAGCTGCTAACAGTAAACTTGCTCACAACTTAAAGACATTTAACACAACAGGTTGGAGATATGAAGAGCTAATAAGGCAAGTATATCTTTAATTCTCATTTCAGCAGCAGAGCAATTTAAAGTGCTTTAAGCAAAATAAGACGTATAAAAGCAACATGAGAAGCATTTTGCAAGAAGTTTAAAAGAATCAAACACAAAATTTCATCCCCCCGATGGACATTTCTCAATATTTTTCTCAACTTTTAGTCGACTCCTGACTTGGAACCTTAAAAATCCTTTTCTAATCTGCTGCTGATGAGAGTGGACAGTGTTCAGACTTTCTATGGATATTTATTGCCCACGAGCCACGGAGGAGCACACGATGATTCAGAGGCAGAGACGCACAATGCACACAACAGACAGAAGCAGTAACTAACACAGGAAGTGAGAGCCTCCCGTCAAGATGTCAAGTCGACCTTGTTTATGACTTTCATTTAGTTTAAATCGCCGCTGTCGCCTTTCAGCCGCGTGAGTCGCACACCCTCCCTCGAACCTCCTCTTCTCGCCAACAAATGTTTTCCACGCTCCTCAAATGGTACGCGGACAGGACGGAGGCTTCACTTCTCCTCAGGCTGTAATTCTACATAAGTTTCCTCGTAGTTCCTTGTATATGAAGACGCTAATGTCTTCTGGGGTTATGTGTAAAAATCTTTTTAGAAAGTGATATAGCGTCTGTATAGGAAACTTCTCCTCGAGACGTTGATCATATTAAAAGATACTGAAGATACACGACAGAAATTTCCCTCATACTCAGCTTTCTATTAATTTGTGAAATAACTGACTGAATAATTTATGATGACTAATAATCCCAGTGAAATATGGAGCTCGGGAGGTTTATACCTTATGTCTGCTGCACACTGGAAGATTTTCAAATCTTAACTGAATGAAAAACGTGGGAGACGACAGACACAAGGACAGAGGAAACAGATTTCTATTCTTTGAATCATTGGGAACTCACAGAAGAACTGAGTTGGTCGTTTGACCTTTGAGATCCCTGTAATTAACGGTTTTTATACACGTCCACTTCAATACTGTTTTTAAATCGGTCACTGCGTCGAATCAAACAGGAAACTGTGGATCAGGGTGTCAGAGAAGCTTTCATTATCAAACTGTGAATGTGAGTGTGCATACTTCTACGACTTCTATGACACACTCAAGTAGTTAAGTGGAGGCGGAGCAGGCGTCATTTACGGCTTTATCATTGATATTTGACATATTTGTTGCTATGGCGACACACTACCTATAGTAAATTCAGGAGTGGAGTATAATCAAGTGTACAGAGTGAGAATTAAACACAGAGAGACTCGTCACGCTTGGCTCGGTTGTCATGGACACAGGAAGCAGTCGACGGCTGCAGCAGAGGGTGCTCGAAGGTTTTTACCATCAATTCATCATCGGCAGAATAATGTCGGTACCTGTGTCTCATCTCTTTACTGTAGGTTTATAATCATCATTAACCAAACACACAGGCAGATGGAAGCTGCTGCTGCCGCTCTCTGGTGACACGCCCACTGCGTTTTCCATTCTGCACCACACAGAGTAACATGGAGGTCCGCTCTGCTGCCGATCAGTGCGAAGAGAGGCTTTACAGGTGGTTGTAGAAGACGATGGAGCCTTTCATTTAACTAAAGGCTGTTAGCACAATATAATATTTAATATTCTTCAGCAAAGTGAAATAGGAAGACAAACCTCCTGATGGCGAGTTAATTCATTTTCTCACAATAATAATAACTGATTTATCAATGACCTGATATTCAGTTTAGTTCAGTTATTTCTGGTTGTTAATGAGGGTCAGTCACTTTAAATTACTTTGAACTTTAGTCAATAAAGTAGCAAAAGTAGCTGCTAAACCGGTGTTGCCAGATGTGCCATAATTATTTTATTTGTGCGATAATTTTGCCCTCGATCAATAAGGCACAAGTGTTTCTCTGAGCTAACTGGGTAACCCTGAGTAGCATGTATCTGTCGAGATGTTATTTCTTTGAAGGCCGAACTTTATCCTGAGCCAAATCTATTAGCTGGGGTCAAATGGCTGTTCTGTCCTACACATAATTACTTTTGGATGTTAATGTAATGATGTAGATCTTTTTTTTATAAAACACGTTTTTTTCCTTTGCTTGTGTCACGACTCCCAAAGAGCTCGCCATTAAACCCACGTCGTTAGAGCCAAGTTGACCGTCCCAAAATTGGAGCCATTTATGATCAAACTATCCAGTCAATTAAGCCGCATCTCCGTGACGACCCCACGCTCGTAATAAAGTTATAATATTAAGCATCCCTTAAATTTGACTTTGACTCTCGGGCCAAGGAAATGGGGACCCTGTCTCTCATTATCTGTAATTATTGTGTGTGTGTGTGTGTGTGTGTGTGTGTGTGTGTGTGTGTGTGTGTGTGTGTGTGTGTGGCAGACAGCCTCATTAGCAGCTATTTGACCATTAACAGTCTGTGTCGCCGCCGATCACCCCATCAGAGACGCAGAGCCGTAATTAGCACCAGAGACTTTCAGCTCGTTCACTTGCTCTCTCGCCCGTTTAGCTTCCACTAACACGCCGCCCTCTCCCCTCAC